CGTCCATGACCATGCCAATGCGGCGCTCAGCAATCCCATTTTGCTGTGGAGAGTCCGGAAGCGTGAAGGTCTAGCGGATGCCTCGTGCACGACAGTAGGCTCGAAGAAGGCCAGAGGAGAACTCTCCGCCTCTGTCAGATTGCAGACGCAGAACAGGAAAGTCCGAGCCGAAGCTCCGCCTGAGCTGGAGACGAGCTGCGCGGATCCAGACGATCAACACCTCAGTGACATCACCCTTGCTGCGCAAGGGGAAGACTGTGGTGTAACGCGAGTAGTCGTCAACCACCAGCAGGAAGTAGCGCTCGTGACCCTGTCCACGGACGCGGGCTGGGCCCCACACGTCCATGTGAAGCGTCTGCAGCGGGGCCTCTGTCGGAGGAAACTGGGAGGAGTGAGGGGTAGCCCGCTGGCGCCCCTCGACACAGGGGACGCAGGTAGGGCTAGGCCCCGGAGGAAGGGGAGGGAGGGACCGGGAAAGACCAGAGACAAGGACACGGGAGGCCATGCTTCGGAGACGAAGCAGGGAGGGGTGACCAAGGCGGTGGTGCCAGAGGAGAGTCTCGTGAGACAGGAGGCGACACGAGCAGGGGGCAGACTCAGGACCAGACCTGGACGCTGCAGCTAACACCTGACCCGACGCAGCTACCTGACCAGACGCAGGGACTGGAGGAGACGCAGTGGTCAGTGTGTACAGGCTCGACCCCGGCCGACGTGTAAACGTGGCCAGGTGTCGGCCTGTCTGAGCGTCCGTGCAGTGGGTCACCCGCTGACTCGAAGGAGTGAACTGGTGCACCCCTGCATCCTGTAGGTCAGCACCACTCACCAAGTTTGTAGAGAACGAGGGGAGGTAAAGACCAGACAAGGTGCCAGAGGAGGCCGCCGGACACGGGAGGACAGTGGAGAAGTGAGCAAGGACAGGACCCCCAGAGGGGTCTACCAGGGAGACTGCAACTGGCCGACCAAGCGGCGTGAGTGTGGTGCGGTCTCGAAAGAAGGAGCGAGAAGCCCCCGAGTCAAGTGTGAAGGTGTGGGAGGTCGAAGCCGACGCAGTACCTGAGAGCGCAGACTCACCAGTACCGGAGGAAGCAGACGCAACTAGCACCTAGAGCAGCAGCCTCGCTAGCACCAAGAGCAGCAGCCTCATTAGCACCTAGAGCAGGAGTCTCAATGCCCGGGTCGGGCGGGAAACACCGGTAACAGTCACGCTCCTCACTAATAGACACAGTATACATAGCAGCAAGAATAGCATCAAAGTCAAGGTCAAAGATAGCTACCCCTGCCCTAGACAGCTCGCCCCAGCGAGGGATCTCAATGGCCTCAGGGAACTGGTGACGCCAAGCGTCCGTCAGGCGGCCAAAGCAGCGCTGGGTGGGGTGCGCACCCCCACACTACTCACCCGCACGGTCGCCGGTGCGCAGGACGTAGGTGCACAGACCAGTACCCCCACCCCGCTGGCGTGCAGCGTACCACTCACGGAGCTGCTGAGGGGACAGGGTCTCCCGACTGCGCTGCTGCTGCTGGCGCTGACCACCACCGGAGCCACTCCTCTGTGAAGAGCCACGACCTCCTCCTCCTCCTCCTCCGCCACCGCCCCCTCCACCTCCGCCACCTCCACCACCTCCGCTCCCAACCCCTTCACTGCCGCCGCCGACACCTCCACCCCCGCCACCACTCCCACCACCACCCCCAACCCCTTTACTGCCTCCACCGCCGCCTCCACCGCCCCCGCTAGCTCCTCCAGCGCCCCTGCCCCCCTTGCCCCTGCCAGAGCGACGCTTCCTACTAGGGGTAGACGCCGCACCGACCGACTCCAGACCAACGAGGTCGGCCGCAGCAGCAGAGGCAACAGAGGGCAAAAGAGGGGAGGGGGAACACCCCTCAAAGATGGGGGTGCGAGGGTCACCACGAGAGGCTTCTACAGCTACTATGCTCTTCTCCGCTGCTAGGAGGGCCTTCTCGAGGAGGTCAACAGTGAGAGTGGTGGGACAGACTGAGAGAAAGTTGTCCCTGACTACGCGAAGGGAGTCAGGGAGGCGGGTGACTATGTAGTAGAGAGTGATGTACATGGGGGGGGGGGGGTTCTTGGCACGGAACTCAGCAGGAAGCGCAGCGCGGTAGCGAGTGTTACTAGTGCGGAGGTGCGTAATGAGGTCAGCGACTGTGGGAAAGGCAGCAAGGTCAGGGAAGAGGTACGGTAGCATGAGGCGGCTCAGTGCAGCAGTGGCAGGGGAGGAGTAGCGTGCAACTACAGCGTCGTATAAGGTCTGAGCACTCTTGTACTGGCTAAAGTGCGCACGCTCAGAGGTAGGCAGGTGGCGACGCGCAGCAAGACGTGCAGCAGCATCGCGCGTGGCCCACTGTGAGCGGACAGTGGCGTCAGCATCAGCAGCAGGGGCAGGAGAGTCACCAGAGGTGAGGTCAAAGAGAGAGAGACCGTCCGCCCTATCGCACTGTAAGAAAAGCTGCAGGTCATATATCCAGACGTCAAAGTCAATGGCCCGACCCTCAGCGTCAAAAGGGAGGACACTAGGGGTAGCCATGACAGCAGTAGACTAGCAGCGCGAACAGTAGGGTGAGGGCAGTGCAGTGACAGAGGCGCTGCTCTTACCAGATAGGGCGGCTCGGGCGGCTCGGCTGCAGGGCGACGCGGCGGCTCGGCAGCTGGGCGGTAGGCGGCTCGGCAGCTGGGCGGCTCGGCGGCTCGGCTGCTGGGCGGCTCGGCGGCTCGGCTGCTGGGCGGCTCGGCGGCTCGGTTGCTGGGCGGCTCGGCGGCTCGGCTGCTGGGCGGCTCGGCGGCTCGGCTGCAGGGCGGCTCGGCGGCTCGGCTGCTTGGCGGCTCGGCTGCAGGGCGGCTCGGCGGCTCTGCTGCTGGGCGGCTCGGCGGGGCCGCAAAGGAGGCGGCGGAAGGGCCGCTGAGAGGGCGGCGTCCGGGGCCGCTGAGAGGAGGCGGCTGGGCCGCCAAGAGGAGGCGGCGAGGCCGCGGAGAGGAGGCGGCGGGGCCGCCGAGATGAGGAGGCGGGGCCGCTTAAAGGAGGCGGCGGGGCCGCTGAAAGGGCGGCGACGAGGCCGCTGCAGGGGTAGTAGCGGGGCCGCTGAAAGGGCGGCGACGAGGCCGCTGCAAGGGTAGTGGCGGGGCCGCTGAAAGGGCAGCGACGAGGCCGCTTCAGGGGTAGTGGCGGGGCCGCTGAAAAGAGACGGCGGGGCCGCTGAGAAGGGCGGCGACAGAGCCGCAGGGAGGGCGGCGGCAGGGCCGTGCAAGGGCGGCGACGGGGCCGTGCTTGAAAGGGCGGCGAGGGGGCCGCAAGGGGAGAGCGGCGACGGGCTGCGAAGGGCGTCGGATCGGGGCCGCAAGGGCGGCGGATCGGGGCCGCAAGTGGCCACTAGGGGGGCCGTGAGGGCGGCTAGGGCGGCGCGACGCGGCCGTTAGGGCGGCGCGACGCGACCGCTAGGGCAGCGCGACGAGGCCGCGAGGGGCCGCTAAGGGCGACGCGACGGGGCCGTGAGGGGCCTAGCGAGGGCGCGACGGTAAGGAAAGCACACGAGGCGTGACTCGGGCCTAAGCGGAGCGCGCTCCGGGCAGGAAAAAAAAAAAATCTTAGAGGTGGGCCCTAGGAATCGTTCCCGTTAGGGAACCTGCTCGATACCATGAGAAGAAACGAGAATGAATGAACTATGAATGAATTGGGTACAAGTAATAACCCTAATTGGGTTGTACCCCTTATGGGCTACCCCACTATAGCCTACACAATATGCATGAGCTATAATGTTCTGACACATACCGGACCGCAAACGGCCATTAAAAATGGGGAGCAGCCACATGGATAATGGAGGTACGAGCGATCTCCATGACTAGGCCAATGCGGCGCTCAGCAACCCCATTCTGCAGTGGAGAGGCTTGAAGCGTGAACGATTGGGTGATGCCTCCCCCTTGACAGAAGGCCCGCAAGAGGTCGGAGGAGAACTCACCACCTTTGTCAGAGTGCAAACGCAGGACAGGGAAGTCCGAGCGAAACCGCTCGCTGAGCTGGAGACTGACTGCGCGGATCCAAGGGATCAAGACAGCAAGGACGTCACCCTTGCAACGCAAAGGGAAGATCGTGGTGTAACGCGAGTAGTCGTCAACAACCAGCAGGAAGTACCGCTCGCCTCCCTGACCACGGACGCGGGCGGGGCCCTACACGTCCATGTGAAGAGTCTGCAGGGGAGCCTTTGTCGGGGGAAACGAGGAGGAATGAGGGGCAGCACGCTGCCGCCCCTCGACGCAAGGAATGTAGGGAGGGGCAGGGGAGCGCGGGAGAGAGGACAGCGACCTAGGGAGACCAGAGACAAGGACGCGGGTATGCATGCCACGAAGGCGTGGCAGGGAGGGGTGACCAAGGCGGTGGTGCCAGAGGAGGTTCTGGTGGGAGAGGTGGCGACACGCACAAGGGGGTGACGCCTGACGCGACGCAGCTACCTGGGGAGCCTCAGTGGTAAGTGTGTAAAGACTGGATCCTGGCGCATGGGTGAACGTCTCTAGGTGACGGCCAGTCCGTGCACACGTGCAGATCGCCACACGCTGACCTCCAGGGGTGAAGGTATCAACCCACTCATCCTGAAGGCCAACGTTGCTCACCAGGTTCGTCGAGCACGAGGGGAGGTGGAGACCTGACAGTGAGCCGGACGGAACGGCCGGACACGGGAGAACAGTTGTGGAACGTGCAAGCACCGGGCCCCCCGAAGGGTCTGCCAGGGAGACAGCAACGGGTCTAGCGAGGGGTGTGAGTGTGGTGCTATCGTGAAAGAAATAGCGAGTAGCACCAGAGTCAAGTGTGAAAGTGTGCAAGGCCTGAGTAGGCGCGGTACCAGAGAGAGCAGACTCACCAGCACCTAGAGCAGCAGACTCTATACCTTGATCAGGCGGCACGCACAAGTAACAGTCACCCTCAGCACTAGTAGACAAAGCATACATGCCAGTGAGAATAGCATCAAAGTCAAGTTCAAATATGTCCACTTTAGCCTTAAGCAGATCTGCCCAGCGGGGCGTCTCATGATCATCCATAAACTCATTGCGCAAAGCATCATCTAGACGGGAGAAGCAGCGATAGCGGGTGTGGGGCTTGCCGCGCGTCTGACCCTTGCGTTCGGCGGTGCGAATGATGTACGGGCAAGAGAGAACACCTCTAGACCCCTAGCGCTGAGCATACCAGTCACGAAGCTGCTGGGGCGAGAGGGGCTCACGCTGGCGCTGGTGCTGCTGCTGCCGCTGACCACCTCCAGTCCGCCCACCGCTGGTGCTGCCACCACCACTCTCATCACCACCACCACTGCCCCCACTGCGTCCACTGTCACCACGACCGCCGCCACCACCACCCCCACCGCCTGCTCCCCCACTTCCGCCACCACCCCCACTGCCACCACCGCCCCCTCCACTACCTCCACCGCCTCCACCACTACCGCCTCCACCGCCGCCACCCCCACCACCCTTGCCTCCCTTGCCTCCCTTGCCCCTGCCGCTGTGGCGCCTCCCACTGGAGCAGAGGCAGCACCGACTCCCTCAGCACCAAGGTAGTCGACAGCAGCAGCAGAAGCGACAGAGGGGGCAAGGGGGGAGGCGGAGCACCCCTCAAAGAAGGGCGTGCAGGGAGTGCCACGAGCAGCACCTACAGCGACAATGTTCGTCTCGGCTGCTAGGAGGTGCTTCGAGAGCAGATCGATAGTGAGGTCTGTGGGGCGAAGGGCTAGGAGGATGTCCCTGACTGCACTGAGAGAGTCTGGGAGGCGAGTGACTATAAAGTAGAGTGTGATGTAGATCGGGGGCTCATTCATGGGGAGAAACTCTGTGGGGAGGGCGGCACGGTAGCGAGCGTCTATAGTGCGGAGGTGGGTGATGATGTCGTCGACAGTGTCAAACGAGGACAGCTCAGGAGAGAGGTAGGGGAGAATGAGGCGGCCTAGCCCTGCAGTGGTAGGGGAAGAGTAGTGCGCAACTACAGTGTCGTACAATTCCTTAGCCGTTTTGGTCTCGAAGTGCACACGCTCGGATATGGACAGGTGGTTACGGATAGCTAATCGAGCGGCAGCATCACGAGTGAGCCATTTCGAGCAAGTCGTGCTATCGGCAGAGGCGGCAGGTGCAGGACTAGCTCTAGACGTGAGGTCATACAGCGAAACATTATTTCGAGAGTCGCTCAGTAGGAACAGTTGCAGGTCCCGCAGCCAAGTTTCGAACTTAATGGGGCGGCCGTCATGATCGAATTCGAGAATGCTGAGCAAGGCCATAGCGTCTTAGTGAATGGGGCCGCGCAAGCAAGCAAGCAAGAAGCTTCCAGGAAGCTGCGAGGGCTGCAGATGAGCGGTGAACAGAGCGGCAGTAGTAGAGGGCCGGCAAGCAGGCCGGCAGGAGCAGCACGCGGGCAGGTGCGGGCGGCGCTAGAGGGTGCAGCGTAGCAGTGGCTGCAGCAGCAGTGCGGGCGGCGGGTGGGCGCAGTAGGCAGCCGCGGCAGCAAGGCACACGGTGCACGGGGCTGCAGGGGGCCGGCAGGAGCAGCTCCAGCAAGTAGCAGCAGCAGTAGCAGCAAGGAGTAGCAGCTGCAGCAAGTAGGAGCAGCTGCAGCAAGAAGGAGCAGCTGCAACAAGTAGGAGCAGCAGCAGCAAGGAGGAGCAACTGCAGCAAGTAGTAGCAGCAGCAGCAACTCTGGTGCAGCAGCGCGCTAGGAGTTGAGGCAGCGCATGGAGCTACAGGCGGCCGGCAGGGCAGCAAGGCGGGCCACACGCAGGGCCTAATGGGCGGCTGCAGTAGCAGGGCGGGTGGCGCCTAGGTGCAACAGGTAGCCGCGGCAGCAGGGCAGGTGGCGCACGGGGCGACTAGCGGCCGGCAGAGCAGCAGGGCGGGCAGCACACGGGGCTGCAGGGCAGCGCGACAAGCGGCGCGCTGGGCGTAGCAGGCAGCCGCGGCAGGAGAAGGCGGCACACGGGGCTACAGGGCCTACGGGGCTGCTGGCGGGCGGCGCGCGGGTCGGTAGGAGCTGCGCGCCGGCTGCGCAGACAGCAGGCGGGTCGCGCGGGCTACTAGCAGGCGGCGCGCGGGCCAGCAGAGGCGACTAGCGGGTCGCGCGGGCTACTAATGGGCGACGCGCGGGCCGCACGGGCTGCTAGTGGGACGTGCGCGGGGCTAGGGCAGTGCAGGGCTCGGGGTAGCTCGGTAACCGCATTTGGTAGGTGGTGGGCCTGAAAAAAACGCTCCTAAGGTCCTAAGGACCAATTGCTCTTAATACCATGTTAGAATTGGTAGCTAGGAATGATGAGAATATCGAGAAAGTTGGGTACAAAATAGGAACAAGGGGTTGTACCCCATAGTGGCTACCCCACTACAACCTAAATAAATAACCTAAACATATATGTTTGACAGATTTTGTGATCCACCATGAGCTTTGTTGTGTGTGGTGACTTTGTGATCCACCATGAACTTTGTTTTGTTGCTTCTCTTTACTGGTCTTATAGCTATTTTGTGCTTCTTGCTCTCTTTTGTTACCGTATTCTCCCGGACATAACACCCTAGGGTATAGCAAAAAATACAGGGAAAAATGGGGGGGGGTCTCCTCATAGGAAAAAAATGCATAATACCCGGGTCTTTACATATGGTATATTTTAGTGTTACGGTAGTGTTTATTTAATTCGACAATGTGGGTGTTTTGATTTTCATTTAAGCATCACTGTCTGAGGCGCGAATGTGAGTTTCGACCACGAACTTCATCACCCCCACGAAAATGCCATGTGGCACCTCTCTTGCCACTTGCAACGGAAGATTCGCCTGCACGTGGAGACAGCGAAATAGTGGGAGGGGGGAAATCTCGGTAGATTGTAAGTGAATGTACCGCGAAATTTCATCGAGGGAGAAATTTTCGCGATATTCTCTTCCGTATTGCAGCTACTCGTTAACGACTATAATAACGAATTTGTAAGAAAAGGGGGGTGCTATAGAAAATCAGCCAAAAAGGGGGGTATAGTAGAAAAGAGGTCTATCATAACACCCACCCCGCACAAGCTACCCGGGGGTGTACAATTACGGGGGGGTGTTTTGTCCGGGAGAATACGGTATCCCTCACCTAGCCTATGGGGGTATTCATATTGATGTTACCGTAGGCTGTAGTGAGGTTAACCCAGGGGTACAACACATTTAGGGTTGCCTATTTGTATCCCAACCTTTTCCCAGTTCATCATTGACAGTCTCTAACGACTTGTCTCTAGGGCTAATTTTATTAGTGTAAATCACCCTAATACTCTGATAATCAAGGTGGTTTTTGGGAGTAAAACTGATGGTCATGGGTTTTTTTTTAAGAGTCAAGATTACCCTAATGTGTCAGGGTTTACATTTTAGGCACACTGATGACTAACGGTTCCCGTATTCCATAACGAGTTTTACCCGGAAGCGAGTTCCATACCCCCCCTGCCCCCCCGGTGTCGAATTATATGTATGATATATATGGTTAGGCTGTAGTGGGGTAGCCAATATGGGGTACAGCCCCGTTTAGGGTTTCATACTTGTACCCAAATCTTTCACAGTGCATTCATTCCTGTCTATAGATTCTGACATGGTATCAGAGCAGTAGTTCCGTACGACTGTTTTTTTTCGGGCCAGGTCCTCCCCAGGTAGACCCCCTCCTCGCGCCAGGTCCTGCTCCTTCAGGTGTTTCTCAGGTAGACCCTCCCGTGCCTGCGCCTGTTGAGGTCACTGGTGACTCGGGTCCTACTGGGGGTGGTCCTACTCGGGGTGCTGTCTCTGGGGGTGCTGAGCCTGGAGGTGCGGAGCCTGAGCGTGAGGAGCCTGGGGGTGCTGAGCCTGGGGGTGCGGAGCCTGGGCGTGAGGAGCCTGGGGGTGCTGAGCCTGGGGGTACGGAGCCTGGGGGTGCTGAGCCTGAGCGTGAGGAGCCTGGAGGTGCTGAGCCTGAGCGTGAGGAGGCTGGAGGTACTACGCCTGGGGGTGCTGCGTCTGGGGGTGCTGAGCCTGAGCGTGAGGAGTGTGGGGGTGCTGAGTGTGGGGGTGCTGAGTCTGGGGGTGCGGCGCCTGAGGGTACTGAGACTGCTGGCGCGCGGTCTCCTTGGAGAGGCCGCCTTCGTCCGCGTGCGCCTCTCTCCCCTCAGCAGCTGCACGAGTGTACGCTAGCCGTCAGGGTTGCGCTGCTGGAGCTCGGGGCTCTGCAGCTGGGAATGGTGCTCGTACTTTGTCTACAGGAGGTGTTGGAGTCGCTGGTTTCGGAGGTGCTCGTACTGGAGGTACTAGAGCTGCTGGGGCTGGCGGTGCTGAGTCTAAGGGGGCCGCTGCGGGAGACCCTAGGTCTAGAGGTGCCGGTTCTGGGGGTACTGCTGCTGGTGACGCTGGTACGGGAGGTGCTGGAGCAGGAGCTTCTGGGGCTGCTGGTGACGCTGGTACTGGAGGTGCTGGCGCTAGAGGTTCTGGAGCTGCTGGTGACGCTGGTACTGGAGGTGCTGGCCCTAGAGGTTCTGGAGCTGCTGGTGGTCCTTGCGCTCGAGGAGCTGGTGGAGGTGTCGGAGCGGTTGGTGGTGCTGGAGCTGCTGATGCTGGTGGCGCTGCACAGCCACGACTGTTCTTTGCTCCGCCGTCTCCGTCGTCTCTGCCACTGCCTGACTCCGTGCTTCGCCAGGTTCTTAGCCTCCCGTCGTCTACTGGTCTTCCGTTACACCCTGGCTCACCGCTACCTGCTCCTTCTCCTTACACTGAGCAGCCAGGAGGTCTTGCTGAGCGTCGTGAGCTTGCGTCGCGTCCTATCTCGCCTGTCCGCACTAGTCGTCGTGTTCCTCGTCCGCGTCCGCCGGCTGTCCCTGGCACACACCTCATGGCTCTGCGTCCATCCTCTGCTCCGCAGCGTGTTCCTCTACCGTCTCCTCCTGCGTCTTCTCTGCCTGTCGTTGCTGACCCTGAGTCTGACTGGTTTCGTGCTGAGCACCCTACTGTCACGCGTCTGCTAGCCACTATTATCACTGACCCGTCGTTTGAGTCTGCTGCTGCGTCTGCCTTCGTCGCTGAGCTTGTTGACTTTGCTACTGCCTGTCGTCTAGACTACGCCGCTAGTCTTGTTGCTAAGTCTGAGTCTGTCTGTCCTCCGTCCGTCGGGGGGTGAGTGTGCTCTTAGCACGGACGTCCTTGAGGACAGGCAGGAGGACCTTGAGTGTCTTGCAGCCACTGCGCCTCATCTCGTGGCCATACTGCTTGCCCTTGAGGGAGACCCGGATGCTGACATCTCGACCCTGCGCTCTTACGCAGAGGCGATCGCGGGTGAGTACTCCTCTCAGTGGCAGACAGCCATGGAAGCAGAGATGGCATCCGGGAAGTCCACAGGCACTTCCGTTGACGAGGCTCCCCCTCCTAGGGCGAACATCGTCGATGGCATGTGGACTTTCAGGGTGAAGCGGCCGCCACGTTCTTTGCCTGTCTTCAAGGCTCGTTACATCGCTCGAGGTTTCAGTCAGTGAGAGGGAGTTGATTTCTTCCAGCCCTTCTCCCCCACCCCGAAGATGACCACTCTTCGGGTGCTGCTGCACGTTGCCGCTTAGCGTGACTACGAGCTTCACTCTCTTGAGCTCAGTACAGCTTTCTTACAGGGCAGCCTGCACGAGGAGATCTGGCTGCGCCGCTCGCCTGGCTTCACTGTGTCGTTCCCTCCTTGTACCCATTGGAGCCTCCGGAGGCCAGTCTACGGTCTCCGCCAGGCACCACGTGAGTGGCACGACACACTGAGGACGACGCCTGCGGCTCTTGGGTTTGCTCCGTCGACTGCTGACCCGTCGCTGTTTCTGCGCACCGACACTTCGCTGCCGCCGTTCTACATCCTCGTGTACGTCGACGACTTGGTCTTTGCCACTGCTGACACTGAGGCACTTGCCTTGGTGAAGTCGGAGCTGCAGAAGAGACACACGTGTACAGACCTGGGTGAGCTTCGCAGTTACCTTGGCTTGCAGATCACCCGGGACAGAGCACGCCGGACCATCACACTGACTGAGTCACACAGCAGGTCCTTCAACGCTTCGGCTTCACCTGGTCCTCGGCACAGGCCACTCCTCTGGCTACAGGTCACTCGCTCTCAGCTCCACCTTCGGACGAATCCGTAGAGCCGAGTGGTCCTTACCCAGAGCTAGTGGGGTGCCTCATGTACCTGATGACTTGCACTCGTCCTGACCTTGCGTACCCTCTTGGCCTTCTGGCTCGCTACGTGGCTCCTGGTCGGTACCGAAAGGTGCACATGGATGCTGCTAAGAAGGTACTACGCTACTTGTGCAGTAGGTCGGGCATGTGGCTTGTGCTTGGAGGACGGGGCGACATTGTCTTCATTGGGCACTCAGACACTTCTTGGGTTGACGACCAGGCTACGCAGCGGTCTTCACAGGATTACACCTTCGGCCTTGGCTCTAGTTCAGTTTCTTGGCGTTCTACACGCTCGTCTTCGGTTCTCAGCTCAAGTTGTGAGGCTGAGATCTACACCACAGCCATGGCTGCACAGGAGTTACGCTGGCTCACCTACCTGCTGACCGACTTGGGAGAGCGGCCTCGTTCTCCTCCAGTGCTGTACGTCGACAACAAGGCAACCATTGCCTTGTGTCAGGAGCACAGACGGGAGCATAGAACGAAGCACATCGCTCTGCGTTACTTCTTGGCTCGAGAGTTGCAGTAGCGTGGTCAGCTTCGTCTTGCTCGCGTGGCCACTCGGGCCAACTCTGCTGATATATTTACCAGGGCACTCCTGTTTGGTGATCATCAGCGTTTCTGCACTTTGTTAGGCCTTGTGCCCACGTTTCCTCACTTGCTGTAGAATTTGCTGGTACTGTGATATATATATATATATATATATATATATATATATATTTGCATGCTTGCTCTGCAAAGTAGAGATCACTGTGCTGTTGTTGTTGTATGTATACCTCTGCATGTGAACTGGCCTTGTGGCCCATTGCTTGTGCTCAGTGTGTGTGGTGACGTTGTGATCCACCCTGAGCTTGCTTTGCTTCTGTTGACTGGTCTTGTGACCCCTTGCTCTCCCCCTATTTGCCTATGGGGGTGTGTCAAAGTATATGTGTGATATATATGGTTAGGCTGTAGTGGGGTAGCCAATATGGGGTACAGCCCCGTTTAGGGTTTCATACTTGTACCCAACTCTTCCACAGTGCATTCATTCCTTCCTAGAGATTCTGACACCCGGTTCCCCCACCCCCATTTTCTAGTAACCCGGGATTCCCGAATCCCGATTGCCAACTGGCGAAACCGTAATTTCAGCCTTGGCAATGCATGTGCTGGCTCTAAGTGGGCCACCATAGGCCAGACTTACAGTTTCTCCAGGGTTTGTCTTTTAAGAACATTGATGCAATAGGGTAAATTTTTGAAAACCGACATAAGTAACAGGGTTTTCAGAAGGGGTCACACTGATCATAGTAAGGGTAGTAAAATCCAAAATTTAGCCCTGCTTGTCTCAACCCAAACCTCAGCAAACCAGTAAGTATGTCTAGTTAGTTAGTGTTAGACCTAGCTGAAGTAGAGATTCGAGCAAGAGGAGCAAGGCAGCTGCAGAAACACGCTCATACTGCTTCCAGTAATAATCATTATCATATTTTCTGCCCTACATGGTAACGTTTCTCCATCTCATCATGCTGTTTTGCCTTATTTTCCAGTTCTTTGTTGTCATTTTACGTTCTCTCCTGCAAGCAAAAAGAGCAGAATGGTGAGAGGAGTATGAGTATATGGTGTACGTGGGGGAGGGAAAACTTGTTAGAAGAGCAGCAAACAACAGGAGTTGACTTGGAAGACAACAATGAAAAGGTAAACGTAAGGTACAAAAGAATCGTGCAAGTGAAATGTTTGCAACAGTGGCCCTGTAGTACTCACTTTAAATAATCCGCAGAAGTGGCCCTACAAGAGTACGACAAGCGCCAAGGGGAGACAGAGGCAGCCGTGTTTGAATGAGGGTGGGACGCAAATGCAAGCATGCGCGGATGTGCGTGTACGTATACGAGTGAGTGAGTGTGTGTGAGATAAGTAAAAACGGAAAAAAAAACTAGGAATGGGTCCACGTAGCAGGCACGCACACTGCAATTCACTACTCTAAAGTTAGCAACTTTAAAACACCGTGAACCATTCGCATCGCCCACTCACATGTTCACATATCGCAAAGCTAAAAGCCCGCATGCGGCCCATGTCTGCAAGCGTGTCCAATGCGTTCCAAACCTGCACACCCAACAAGTTATGCCATGGGCGCATGAAGGAACAGTTAAATACTGCCTCTCATTGCCTAAGTTTACCGCACCCTGTTAGCACAGTGTGATCCCACCCAACCTGATGCATGGGCATGCTACCTAGCAGCAAGCGCTTTGCAAGCACCCAATGCACCATCCCTTCTGCGCTAGGGTCCGCCTCACCATAGAATCTAGCCCGATTTACTCGAGAAACAGTGGTGCATCGCGTAGCTTGCGGCAGCAATGACTGATTCCGAAGGGAGCAGCATTACCTTGCAGCAGCAGAAGGGACATTTGCCATGGTCATCGGCAGCAGCAGAGCGAGCTGCCAGCTGTCGATACAGCCTGATGGATTTGGGGGACGACAGGGAGATGGGCGGTGGAACACAGTTGTGCATTGAGGGAAGAGGGTACGGGGGGAAGGGGGGAGAGGAATGGGAGGAAGGAAGTGACAAGACTCGACGTTTAAACGCCGGAAGGGTTGCGTAGACTGTTACGGTAGCAATTCTCTATAACGTCCCTCACGTATACTGAATCTGAAGAGTATTTCAGTAGTAACTCGCCGATAAAACAATTAACATAACAATAGTGAAATGAAATATTTCGATCTGTAATAGATGGACATTGTTTAACCATCATACGCCAATAATGCGACATAATGGAAGAATCATAGCCGAATTTGAACAAATCATTTCATTCCAATTGACAATATGCAGTATGATTTGTTGTGTGGCTATGAGAGTTGCAAAGAAATGGCACGCTGAAGATAATCAGTAATGACTAACATTTGGATAACAAAATATGAATGACACATATTTCCATGATCTATTATAAACAATCAAACCACTAGCAACAGATTGGAACTTATATAACTTAGAAACCAACTATCACTAAAGGAGATGTTTTGCTGACTTGGGGTTAGGTGAACAGTCCCATCCTTGGCAAGGGTTTCGTTCTCCCCCCCAACCAACTGCTCCTCTCAACCAAAATGCTCTCACGACCGTTCCAACTTTTTTGAAGCCGTTCAAGAACTCCAACCACCTTCTCAGGAACTACCGTACTTTACCTTGTTAGTGCCTAAGCCGCGTGCGCCTAGAGGGCTTGCCATTGACTCTCGTGCATTAGGCAATATAGCATAGAGCACTCGCCCTAGGGCGCTCATGCCTTAGCGCTTATGACGCCTACGCGCCAAGCGCGTTGGCCTTGGCGCTCGCGCCTTAGGCGTCATTGGCGTGTAAGGCGAGGGCGCCGTTGGCCGCCGGCGCCGTTTGCGGTGGCGCCTTTGGGCGCTAGCGCTGGCGCCTTTTGGCGCTGGTGCTCGCGCCTTTGGGCGCTGGCGCTGGCGGCTCACGCCTTTTGACGCTGGCGCTGGCGCCTTTTGGCGCGAGCGCCTAAGGCTCTGGCGCCTAACGCGCTGGCCCCTAACGCGCTGGCACCTAGCGCGCTGGCGCCTAGCTCGCTGGCGCCTAACACGCTGTTGCCTAGCGCACTAGGCTGCTTTTTCTTCTTGTGCAGGCTGTGGAAATTGTGCAGGGTGTGTAAGGTGTTTTCTCTGTTATTGCTTCTTGTACAGCGTAGTGGAATTGCATTGTCTGTTTCGCGTTCTTCTGCAAAAGTATGTGAGTTGCATTCTCTGTTTCGCTTTTTTCTGCAAAGTGTGTGTTGTACTTTCTGTTTTTTGTTTCATCTTTTTTTCTTTCTTTCTTTCTTGTGCAGGGTGTGAATAGTGTTTTCTGTTTTTGCTTTCTTGTGCAGGGCGTATGAGAAGCATTCTTGCTGAAGGAAAGGGAGGGTTTTTTTTGGGAGAGAAAAGGAAAGGAAAAGAGGGGAGGATAAGGAGGGTAGTTTGCAAGAAGGGGGCAGAGGAGATGATAGAGGAGGGATGGAGGAAGTAGGGAGCAGGGACATGTATAGCAATTAATGATACATAGCTGAACTCAATTGCTTCTTGCTATGTTTGCGTGTTCATTATCTGTTTCCTTCTGTGTGTGATGTGATGTGAATGTCTTTGTGTTTGTGTGTTACGTGTGTGTGTACCGTATATGTGTAATCTTGTGTGTGTGAACCACATTTTTTTTTTTGTCAGTTGATGTACTGTCTGTTTCGAGGTGTGGTGCGAAGTGACTCGTGCTTGCAGCTGAGGTTGTGATCGTCGGTGGGGCAGCTTTGCTCGCCTCTTCCGTACCGATTCAATTTTTGCTGCAACACCGATTCATTTAACATTCACTTCGAGGCATTCATGTCTCTGTATTTTCATTGTTTGTTTGCATGTGGACATTCGTGTTCGTTTCAGGACGTGGTGTTGAATTGCTTTATGTATGCAATTGTGGTTGTGATTGTCGGTGGGGTAGCTTTGCTTGCCCCTTCCGTACCAGATCAATCGCTGTTGCACCGTAGATGCATTTTAACATTCACCATGAAGCATGCACGATTGTTATGTTGGTTTTGTGCATGTGGTTTTGTGTGTGTTTGAGGGTGTGAAGTATAGTGCGATACTTTGCGTTTGTGAGTGCACGTTTGGTCATCGATGCGTAAATCATTGTCCAATGATTCCATTCGCCGTACTTATCAACGATTATGGAATGATTGGACACATTTGTTTCCATTTTTCGGGTAACTTGCGTGAACAGTGATTTCATCCATATTTTTGGAGAAAAATCACTGTTCACGTCAGTCAACCGAAAAGTGAAAACGAATGTATAAGGTTGCTACGCAACCCAAAAAAGGCGTGTCAAAGATTCTGAAAAGGAATGATGGAGAAAGCCGGTTCGAAACAGCCGCGCATGACAGGGGGAAGGCAACGAGGCCAAGAGGCACCGGCCTTGGTGAGCAGAGCAACTCTCAAGAACTGAACATGCTCAACATACTCGGTGCGCTGGAACGCATCGATGAAGCCTCGGCAGACAGAGATGTCCCACATGTTCAACGATGGCTCCATCACAGCAAACGACGCCCCTGCCTCCCCCTCTCCCTCCTCCCCCTCCCCCTCACTCGACCCCTCCTCCTCCTCCTCCTCCTCCTCCTCCTCCTCCTCCTCCTCCTCCTCCTCCTCCTCCTCCTCCTCCTCCTCCTCCTCCTCCTCCTCCTCCTCCTGGATCTCCTTCTCCTGCTCCTGCTGCTCCTGCTGCTCCTGCGTCTCCTGCGTCTCATGAGTTTCCTGCTGCTCCTGCTGCTGATGCCCCTCACGTCGTCTCGAGCTAGTGCAGCGCGGGAAGGAGGAGCACGAGGAAGCAGCGGAGGAGGTGGAGAGCAGCGAGGGGGGGAAGAGATCCGCGAGGAGGTAGGGGGAGAGAAGGCACATCTCGTCCACATGCCCCATAAGACCCAGACTCTTCTTGTTCCCCACGCGCGACGCCATGGCTACCAAAAATGCTTCTCTCTCTTCCGCTGTTGTTCCCTCGTCTGCTGCGGCTCTCCCTCCGCCCACTTCCCACCATTCCTGAGCGCCTCGCTCTGCAGCATCGCCATCACCTTCAAGACCAGCACCAGCAGCACCAGCCGCACCATCCACAGCAGCATCAGCAGCATCATCAGCTTCCTCGTCAGGAACACCGACAACCGCATGATTAGAATCACCATCGCCATCACCACCAACATCATCCACATCACCACCGTCAATCTCATCCCACATGCGCCCATAACGCTCCACAAAATCATCTGCGGCATTCCCGTTTCCTCGCACATTCCCATCCCAATCCGCGTCTCCCGGGCCGCTCAAATTTGCCTCAATGTCAATCCCTTGCCCTCCTTCCCCCGCCTCATCCTCCCTCCACCACCCCACTCTCTCTCCAATTCTCAAGATCGTCCTCCCTCCCACCCTCCCCATCGTCGTCTCCCCAACCCTCCTCGCCAGCCTCCTCCCTCCCCTTACAGCCACACGTCGCGCGGTCCGCGCTGTCCGCTTCACGAAGACGCATGCGAAATACCCCACGACGATCGGCACGAGCACGGCGATCACAGGCACCCACGCAACGCGCGACGCGGCGCGCTTACACATGCGCCACGCGCTCCTGCTCCGGTGATCATGCATGAAAATCTCGGAACAGCGGCTCGCGTCGTCTCCGTCAAAGTATCCGTCGGACCACCATTGGCCGACTTTTTCCAGGAGCTCCTTAATTCGCGGGTTCAGCAGGCTGAACGGCACCTCGAGAATACCGGGCGAGTAGCTGAGAAGCTTCGGCGAAAGAGCGGCGGCTGGTAACCCGAGGAGTTTTCGGTTGGAAAGGCTCATCGGGCGAGTCGACTCGCCGCTGTCCCCGCCGCCGTTTCGCCGCCGTTTCGCCTCCTCCGGCTGCGCGTTAATATCTCGGACGAGATCTTGCGCGCGGGTGTGACAATAGAGGGGCCAGAGGTCGGTCTCGGCGAGACGGCGGAGCCGCGTGCAGCAGGCGGCGAGGACGGCGATGGCTCGGAGAGGGTGACCCGTCATACGCGCTATAGACAGAAGGACATCCGCGTCCAGATCGGGTAATTGTCGCTTAATGGGGGTTTCTTGCAGGCGAAAATGCATCGGCGTCGGAACGCAGTCGATCGTCGAGGAACGAATATTAGCTGAAGAAGCATGGTCAACGGGACGGTCTACTGCATGGTCAGCGGGATTTTGGTCAGCGGGATCGTGGTCGACGGCACCGCACGCCATGATACCCAGTGAGCCATGCCGCATCGCGGGTTCACCACCAATCGTCGGAGTCGTCGGTGTTGTCGCTGCCGTCGTCGCAGCTTCACAGTCGAGCGCCATGTCACCGCTGTTATCGGGGTAGCTTACATCGCCACCATGATGGTTATTCATGAACTCATAGTCAACGTTCGGGCTCGCTTCGGATTGGACGGTCGAGTCGAAAGGGCCAGACGGGGACGTCCAAGATTGATTCTCGAATTTGTTGAATTCATGGCGGCCGGAATCCCGCGTCGTGTCACCAGCTTGCTCCAACGCCTCGCTGTTGGAAGTGCATTGTTCCTGCTGCCATTCCTGTTTGACTCTGACTAGGGTTTGCGGTTCTTCCATTGTTGTTGAAGTCTAGTGTGGCAAGGCGACTGAAAGTGCACGCTAGTCACTACAACTAGTCCTGCTCCTCACGGCAATTAAACGAATAATTACTATGGATGAAGGGAATTCCAATGCGTACTATCCGGCTGTGAACTAACGCGGCAGCACTTTTGGTGAAACTGGAGAACTGGAACACATCGTGCACCGGCAAGAACACAAAAGAACGCCCATGGCGGGTAGGTGTGGGGTGAGAGTGCTGAGGAAATAGGCTTGCTAATGACCCTCAGGATTATATAATTGACGTGCTAATATGGCCGTTTCTTGGAGAAACCTATATTTTTTAATATTCCCCCTTAAAGATATCCCTAAATTCCCTAAGTCCATTCCACACCATGCATACTCGTGGGGAGTTCGATTGACATTCTGTGATTTGGCAAGAGCACGGACATCCCCACACCAATCGAGGCAGAACTCGCGTCAGTATAATGAATGCTGCATGAATGTTTTGTTTAAACCCGAAGCCTGAATTACAAATCTGAGTCAACGCTAGGTTCGGGCTGGGTTCGGTTTGGGTTGAGTGAGGTTTGTAAGAATCGCGAAAGTAGCGAGCTAGCGAAAACAAAAAGCGACAACACGAGTGCTGGAGTAGAGTGAGAAAATGTGCGACAGCACAGCTAACAACTCATTCACTCACTTCTAGATTCTGATGATCGCACACCACTAGGGTTTTTTAGTGAGCACATTTCAGACAACCTGAATTAGTAGGTGCAGCGCGTATATGCAATCGAAGGGAAACGCAGGCGCAAGATGCGAGTGTCAAGCACGGAAAAAATGGGCACGAGGAGATGAGAAATTAGCACTTTGCCGACCTCGCGACCCTCGACCGTCGCCCTTGCTTTATCCGCCTACCGCCCTCGCCTCGCCCGTCGCCCTCGCCGCCCCGCCGCCCGTCGCCCCCTCTTCCTCCGCCCGTCGACCTCGCTTTCCCCCGCCCGTCGCCCTCGCTTCCCCTCCCCATCGCTCGCCCCATCGACCTCTCCTCTCCCACCTGTCGCTGCGTCGATGTCGTTCTCATTCCCGCCGCCCATGCCTACTCCCCTCTCTCGCGCCGACGCCCTGGTTTTCCACCCCGCCGCCTTCTCTCCTCTTCCCATTCGAACACCTATTGTCCCTTCAATCGCTGCTGCTTCCTTTTTGCGGAGGCCACTTTCCCCCTTCTCATTCTCCGTTTTCAGTCGCATCATCTCCCAATCCGCCCACGTCGCAACTTGCATTCTAATTCATGTCGAGCTCAGTTTCCCCCCCGGAATGTGCTCAGTTTCCCCCCCGGAATGCGCTCAGTTTCCCCCCCGGAATGCGCTCAGTTTCCCCCCCGGAATGCGCTCAGTTTCCCCCCCGGAATGCGCTCAGTTTCCCGGACGGAATGCGCTCAGTTTCCCCCCCGGAATGCGCTCAGTTTCCCCCCCGGAATGCGCTCAGTTTCCCCCCCGGAATGCGCTCAGTTTCGCCGACGGAATGCGCTCAGTTTCCCCCCCGGAATGTGCTCAGTTTCCCCCCCGGAATGCGCTCAGTTTCCCCCCGGAATGCGCTCAGTTTCCCCCCCGGAATGCGCTCAGTTCCCCCCCCCCGGAATGCGCTCAGTTTCCCCCCCGGAATGTGCTCAGTTTCCCCCCCGGAATGCGCTCAGTTTCCCCCCCGGAATGCGCTCAGTTTCCCCCCCGGAATGCGCTCAGTTTCCCCCCCCGGAATGCGCTCAGTTTCCCCCCCGGAATGCGCTCAGTTTCCCCCCCTGAGCGCTCGGATTCCCCCCCTGATTGCGCTCAGTTTCCCCCCCTGATTGCGCTCAGTTTCCCCCCCTGATTGCACTCAGTTTCTTCCCCCACCCCCCTCGATTGAGCTCAGTTTCCCCTGAATGTCCTCCGTCACCCCCCTGGTTCCCCTGTTTCCCCCCCCTGGTTCCCCTGTTCGTTTTCCCTGGTTCCCCTGTTTTCCCCCCCTGGTTCCCCTGTTCCCGCCCCCTGGTTCCCCTGTTCCCGCCCCCTGGTTCCCCTGTCCACCCCCTTCTTGCCTTCCACGCTGTCTAGGCCAGCATCCTTCCCGCCTATCCTCTTCTCACTGTTCCTCTCTCTTCTTACCCCCTTCTCTTCTCTCATCCCTTCCTCCCCTCTCTCATCCCTTCCTACCCTCTCTCATCCCTTCCTCCCCTCTCTCATCCCTTCCTCCCATCCCTCATCCCTTCCTCCCTTCTCTCATCCCTTCCTCCCCTCTCTCATCCCTTCCTCCCCTCTCTCATCCCTTCCTCCCCTCTCTCATCCCTTCCTCCCCTCTCTCATCCCTTCCTCCCCTCTCTCATCCCTTCCTCCCCTCTCTCATCCCTTCCTCCCCTCTCTCATCCCTTCCTCCCCTCTCTCATCCCTTCCTCCCCTCTCTCATCCCTTCCTCCCCTCTCTCATCCCTTCCTCCCATCCCTCATCCCTTCCTCCCATCCCTCATCCCTTCCTCCCTTCTCTCATCCCTTCCTCCCTCTCTCATCCTTCCTCCCCTCTCTCATCCCTTCCTCCCCTCTCTCATCCCTTCCTCCCCTCTCTCATCCCTTCCTCCCCTCTCTCATCCCTTCCTCCCCTCTCTCATCCCTTCCTCCCCTCTCTCATCCCTTCCTCCCCTCTCTCATCCCTTCCTCCCCTCTCTCATCCCTTCCTCCCCTCTCTCATCCCTTCCTCCCCTCTCTCATCCCTTCCTCCCCTCTCTCATCCCTTCCTCCCATCCCTCATCCCTTCCTCCCTTCTCTCATCCCTTCCTCCCCTCTCTCATCCCTTCCTCCCCTCTCTCATCCCTTCCTCCCCTCTCTCATCCCTTCCTCCCCTCTCTCATCCCTTCCTCCCCTCTCTCATCCCTTCCTCCCCTCTCTCATACCTTCCTCCCCTCTCTCATCCCTTCCTCCCCTCTCTCATCCCTTCCTCCCCTCTCTCATCCCCCCTCCCCTCTCTCATCCCTTCCTCCCCTCTCTCATCCCTTCCTCCCATCCCTCATCCCTTCCTCCCTTCTCTCATCCCTTCCTCCCCTCTCTCATCCCTTCCTCCCCTCTCTCATCCCTTCCTCCCCTCTCTCATCCCTTCCTCCCCTCTCTCATCCCTTCCTCCCCTCTCTCATCCCTTCCTCCCCTCTCTCATACCTTCCTCCCCTCTCTCATCCCTTCCTCCCCTCTCTCGTCCCTTCCTCCCCTCTCTCATCCCTTCCTCCTCTCTCTCATCCCGTCCTCCCCTCTCTCATCCCTTCCCCCCCTCTCGTGTCCTTTTTCAACCCTGTTATTGTCTTCAACAAGCATGTAACTCGAAGAGCTGGAGGGGTTGCACGACCCTGTGACTCACCTGCATTCCCTCCCTTCCCTGTTTCTAATTTCCCTCTCCAGTCCTTCTTGTTGGGAATAATAAGTCTTAAGCGCCTCTGTCGTGTCGAAACTCAGGACACTAGCGAAGCAGTCCGAATCGAAGCATCGCGAGTCAACCCTCGGAGGTTAGGGTAACCGCCTGGAGGTTACGAGAAGGTCAAAGGTCAGCGACCTTTGACTTGACAAATACAGCGCGACAGCAAGGACACACAACTGACTCGACATTGAGCAGTTGCCCGAGTCGCACTGTATCGAATCGCAACAGTAAAACGGTTTTAACTTATCTATTCGTATTCCTTGTACTCTTATATAAACCTCTGTATTTGCTTGTTTAATCAACTTACTTTGCCCTCACATACTAGCGCAACGTGGTTCAAGTACTTTCATTCAAACGCTTCCGCTACTACAATTCTACTCAGACTTCAACTCTACAAAGATCCTAGGGCACTTCAGCCCAACATGGTACGGTATGAGAGCAGTTAGAGTTTTAAAGTTGTTTTCCTTTTAACACTCAATACAAGAAGACATGTCTGCAAGGAAGGAGAGGAGCTCCTCCAACGGCTCTCCAGGCACTACTCCTACTCCACCTCCTGTCTCTGGTCTACAGACAGAGGAAGGGACTACCACGAGACCAGCAGCTGGGTCTACGGAAACGCCCGCACGCAGGCTTCGATCCAAGCATGATGAAAAAGTTCTTCTCCTTCATGTCCTTCTACGAGCAGCACCAGCAAGGAGCATCTGCGCAATCAAACAACAGCAACAACAACAACAACGTGACGCCTATGAGTCTCGATGGCTCATCCTACGCACGCGGGATTCAACAACAACAACAACAACCTACCTTTGCGCCATACGAGCCCCAGCGTGGCTCCGTCAGCTTCATGCCGCAACCGCAACCTGCACCAGGACAAGAAAGGGCATTGGATGCGTTACAAGTTCAATCGCAATTCGCGCATGTCTTAAAACTACAAACGACAAAGTCTTTCGACGGCAAAGATTTCTTCACCTGGTCGTTCGAGTTCGAACTGATGATGGAAGGAGCACAGATTCTCGGCTTCTTCGACGGGTCCTTGCCATATCCAACAAACGGGACGCAATATGAGAAGCAGCAATATACTTATCAATCGATGGTGGCGTACACGATACTGCTGAGGAACATCACCCCGACCCAGCAGCAGAACATCAGGACTTACCGAGGCTACGGCAACTCCGCGGAGCTCGCGTACAACCACCTGAAGAACCTGTATCAAGCAACAGACAGCGTAAATCAAAGCAGGTTAATGGCGCAGCTGACAACGATTGAAATGAAACCAGGCGAGAAAGGCATGGCTTATATGAGCCGCTGTCGCGAACTGCGCGACAAGCTTCTTCGATGCGGCGGGTCGATTTCAGAAGACGCCTTTGTCACGGTGGTCATCGGCGGTCTCGGCCCCCACTGGCGCTCCACTCGCGCCATATTACGAGCACACGGGAGGATTTCCGAAGCGGCACTCTGCGCCGAAATTCATGCTGAGCAGCAAGACATGGACCTGCAAGAAGAAAGACACAAGAAGAAAGCATTAGCACCAGAGTTTGCGTTTCACACTCAGCGACGATACAACGGCAACAACAACCGTCAACAACAAGTAAAAACAGTACCTCCGTTCTGCCACATCTGCAAGACTTCGGGCCATCCTCGCACGCACTGCCCGTCTCGTCAGACAACACCACAGCGACAACTCCGACCTTCAAGCTCCCAAGTTGCTTCAACGCAAGCAAGTCCGACGACCACAATCCAAGCTTCAACGACTTCAACTGGACAACCTGCACAAGGAACAAGAAGCATCGTCAATTGCATGGTGAAGATAACCGATTCGTGCACAACCAAGTCACCACCCCACTACTCACCGGAAGAAGAGCTCGACAACAGGACGCCTCGCCGCGAATCACTCCAGCCGAATCCGACGTACGCCGCCATCGCTCAAAGCGAACCATCCAGCCAAGACACTTGGTTCTTGGATAGTTGCTGCGGACAACACATGTGCTCCTCCGGGCGCTTCGTTCAACGCGAACATCGACTCCAGCGAGAAGTAGTCATCACGGTCGCCAACAATCAGAACCTGCGCACACGACGACAAGGAGCGGTACAGCTTCAGTCACGAGAAATAAATGCCATATTACACATGTCAAAGGTACTTATCGCGGAGGGACTAGGCTACAACTTACTGAGTGTCAGCCAGTTGATGGCGAAAGGCATCCACTTGGAAGCCGATAGCACCACCCAGGAGTTTAGGTTATACCACGGGAAGGGCGGCCTCTACATCGGAAAAGCAGTGTTGAAGAATAACGTCTTCGTCCTCGATTTCGTCCCCGACCTGGGCACTGCAGACAGCGACGCCATCGTCAACTTCACCGACTGGACTCATCCTCCGGATCTCGATCCCGACTTCAGCCCAGGAGGTTTCTGGTACTCGCACACCATCCCTGAAGCAGAACGAACACGAGCATTAGCAACGATTCAACAAACGACAGCAGCAGAGACTGTCGGATTATTATAACTAATGCATGTTTGTAGGCTATAGTGGGGTAGCACATATGGGGTACAGCTTTCTAGGGTTGTATTTGTACCCAACTCTGACTTAGTCATTTTCGTTCCTGTTTTCCTTGCTTCACATGGTATAGAGCGGGTCCTGCCTTAGGACCGTTTTTTTTTTAGGGCCCACCGAAGCGCGCCCCGAGGCGCGCCCTTTTTTAGCGACCCCTCGGGTCGCCTTTTCCCTCGCGGCCCCGCTGTCCCTCAGACGCGGCCCCGCCACCTCTCCTGATCGCGGCCCCGCCGCCTGCTTGACGCGGCCCCGCCGCCTCCCCTGACGCGGCCCCGCCGCCTCCCCTGACGCGGCCCCGCCGCCTCCCCTAACGCGGCCCCGCCGCCTCCCCTGACGCGGCCCCGCCTCTATTGCCGCGGCCCCGCCGCCGCCTCTGACGGCCCCGCCGCTGCACCCTACGGCCCGCCGCCTCACCTGACGGCCCCGCCGCTGCTCCTGCCGGCCCGCCGCTGCTCCTGCCGGCCCGCCGCTGCACCTGCCGGCCCGCCGCTGCACCCAGCGGCCCGCCGCCTCTGACGGCCCCGCCGCTGCACCTGCCGGCCCGCCGCTGCACCCTACGGCCCGCCGCTGCACCCTACGGCCCGCCGCTGCACCTGCCGGCCCGCCGCTGCACCTGCCGGCCCGCCACTGCACCGGTCGACCCGCCGCTGCACCTGACGGCCCCGCCCCTGCATCTCCCGGCCGAGCCGCCCCAGCAGCCGAACCGCCCGGGAGCCGAGCCGCCCAACGCCGAGCCGCCCGGGACCCGAGCCGCCCTGCCGCCGAGCCGCCCGGGAGCCGAGCCGCCTTGCACCCGAGCCGCCCAGCCGCCGAGCCGCCCGGGAGCCGAGCCGCCCTGCGCCCGAGCCGCCCAGCCGCCGAGCCGCTGTGCACCCGAGCCGCCCGGTCGCTGAGCCGCCTTTCTGCATAGCTGCACGACCTGCCCTACCTGGTGAGCACAGTCCCACTGACACTGCGAGCTCTTTCCCTACTGCTTGCACTGCGTCGCTGTCGTCGCCATGGCTACCCCTAGTGTCCTAGCTTTTGACACTGAGGGTCGCGCCATTGATTTTGAGGTCTGGTTAGACGACCTGCAGCTGTTCTTACAGTGCGACAGGGCTGACGACCTTTCTCTCTTTGACCTCACCTCTGGCGCCTCTCCTGCTCCTGCTGCTGATGCTGATCGCGCTGTCCGCTCTAAGTGGGCCACCCGCGATGCTACTGCACGTCTTGCTGTGCGTCGCCACCTCCCTACCTCTGAGCGTGCGCACTTTAGTCAGTACAAGAGTGCTCAGACCTTGTACGACGCTGTAGTTGCGCGCTACTCCTCCCCTGCCACTGCTGCACTGAGCCGTCTCATGCTTCCCTACCTCTTTCCTGACCTCTCTGCCTTTCCCACTGTCGCTGACCTCATTACGCACCTCCGCACTAGTGACACTCGCTACCGCGCCGCCCTTCCTGCTGAGTTCTGCGCTAAGAACCCCCCCCCCATGTACATCGCTCTCTACTACGTAGTCGCGCGCCTCCCTGACTCCCTTCGCGTCGTCAGGGACCACTTTCTCGCAGTCTGTCCCACCACCCTCACCGTCGACCTCCTCGAAAAGGCCCTCCTCGCAGCGGAGAAGAGCATAGTCGCTGTAGGTGCTTCTCGTGGTGACCCTCGCACCCCCATCTTTGAGGGGTGCTCTCCTTCCCCCTTGCTGCCCTCTGTTGCCTCTGCTGCTGCTGCCGACCTGCTTGGTCTTGAGTCGGTCGGCGCGGCGTCTGCCCCTAGTGGGAGACGTCGCTCCAGCAAGGGCAAGGGGGGCAAGGGCGCGGGTGGAGCTGGAGGGGGCGGTGGCGGTGGCGGCGGTGGCGGCGGAGGGAGTGGGGGTGGCGGCGGGACTAGTGGCGGAGGTGGTGGTGGTGGTGGCAGTAGTGGCGGAGACGGTGGTGGTGGTGCCAGCGGTGGTGGTGGAGGCAGCGGCGGTGGTGGAGGCGGCGGAGGTGGAGGCGGTGGAGGCTGCAGCGGAGGAGGCGGTGGTGGTGGAGGAGGTGGAGCTGGTCGAGGTGGTACCCAGCAGCGTAGCGGCGGTGGTGGTGGCCAGCGCTCGCAGCGGCAGCAGCAGCAGCAGCGCTCGCGGGACATCCCTCCGCCTCAGCAGCTTCGTGAGTGGTACGCTGGGCGTTAGAGGGGTGGGGGTACTGGTCCCTGCACCTACGTTCTTCGTTCCGGCGACCGCGCGGGTGAGCAGTGTGGGGGTGCCCACGCCACCCAGCGCTGCTTTGGCCGCCTGACGAACGCTTGGCGTCAGCAGTTCCCTGGGGCTAGTGAGATCCCTCGCTGGGATGAGCTTCTCAGGGCTGGTGTAGCGATCTTTGATCTTGATTTTGATGC